GGGGGCCTCAGCAACAACGCCCTGCGAATCACGCGCGCAAGAAACCGGGAAGGCGATTTTAGAGGGTCTGCCAGAAAACCCCAGAGTCATGTGGAGGTGGTTCCATTCCTTGGCCGGCGTCCGAAAATCAATCGAATTGCGGGCCCCTTCCAGCTCTTTATTAACTAAGAAGACAGCTCTGTCTTGCTGGAGAAAGATAGCCAAAATCTCATGTGAGTCCATAACAAGGTGTTGCAAAACAGTCGCAAACACAACCATTTCTGCACTCCACGAATCGCGCTTATCCCGGGCCCGAACGAATCGGCTAGCCCAGAAACGCAATCTCGCGAGAGCTTGAGCGATGGGCACGTCAATACCCAGGTCTTCCGCGATGCGCTGCACCCCCCAGCCCGCCCACGCTGCCCCGGGGAGGGGGGCAGGGGCAAAGAGAGGAACATGGGAAAGAGATGAAACCTCCCATCTGTTCTTGCCACGCACCTGAACGGCAGGCATTCGGCCACTTCCCCACACCTCAATTTGAGCAGGCCGCACCTCATGATCTAACAGTCCCAGCCGCTCGTTCCACGTTGTGTCTATCTCTTCATCAACGTCACTGGCGAAAGCCAGGTCTCCAGTTCTTGCGGCAGCCAAGCCTGCACAGGATGCGGTGCTCAGAGAAAACACTGGCCGTCAGGTCACGCTTTTTCCCCTGGACCATGGCATTTCCTCAGCGGGTGGCATAAAAAGATCTTCGACCTTTCTGACGCATCTGACTCCCTGGGCGTGGCTTTGGGGATTGGAAAAGCCTGTCTAGCCGCCGGGAGAATCTGCGTCTGGACGGTCTGGAGATAGGCATGAATATCAATCGTCAAAAGAACTGGCGGGCAGGTTCGAAAAAAAACTGAAAACTGGCGCAGGCCCCCCGGTGTTAGTTTGCATGGCTTCCGCGCTGATCCCATTGAGCCCCGAACGGGGAGGGCGAGTTAACGTGGCCCGTTGGAAGGTGACCGACACGGGCAAATGGTCTGGCTGGGCCATGGCGCTATCAGATTATGTCCACACTTCGATCATGCTGGCAGCCCGCATACCTTGCTGAGATGTCATAATGTTGTCAATCCTGTGCTGCTGGCCGTTGTAAGTAATACACGCGCGCGCAGGACCTTGCCCGAAAAGGGCATGAATGGCAGACGCGGAGGTGCCAGCAGCAAACGTCTGGAAGCACTGCCCTGGGCGATCTTGTTTCTGAAGGAGCCCTTTTCCCTCCAATGCGTTCAGTGGGTTGGTGCCCTACGCGCGCGCTGGCACCAATGCAGATAGAACCGGCTGTATACCTCAGCACAAGGGCCTCGGCTTCCCCCCAAAACTCTTTGATCTTCTGCATCCCCAGCCGCATATGCGGGGCATGCATTGAAGCAAAGGTTAACTTGGCATGCGGCGACGATAAGGCGGCAATGATGATGCGATGGGGTGGCAGCAAGTTTGACAAGGCTTTGCTTGACAGCGTGGATATCCTTCCCCCAGGGGGGTTTTGCCCATCGGTACTTCAGTGTTGAGCCACAGTTAGCATTTGAATCCTTCGGCCGACGTTCCCGAAGCAAGAATTGCAAGGAGGGCCCCGACTTTCGCCCCCCCCCCCCCCCCCCCCCCCCCCCCCCCCTCAGCTGCGCGATGCTTGGATTCCAACAACATGATCCTGTGGCTGGATGAACTGCTCAAGAACGGTTCGCGCTCGGGCAGCCTCCTTCCTACCCGCTGTGCCATGCGCCTGACGAACACTGGCGCTTCGGGGGTTATACTGGACTGCTCGCAGCAAGGGGCTGGCCTGGACAGGGGCCGTTTTCCCACCTGGATCCGCCTCCGGGGGCGAGGCGACCATCTCTTGGTCCCGGCAGACAAAGCCATCCAACCTGCCAAGTCCTTCAACTTGCTCTCGCTAAACCCGGGCGCGCGCGCGGGCGGGGGCGGGGTGGGGGGGGGCAAGGCGCGACGCGGGGGTCAGGGGGCGGATCCATTCCCACTCCCTCTTGACACTGTGGCGAATGGCGTCGCGGGGCCTTAGATCGAAAGGAGAGGATGGGGTGATTCTACCACGCATGGTCAACCGAGCCACATGATCAGCCATTGCATTCCATGGATGTTCTTCATGGGCCTTCACGCGATTGGTGCTCATCGGACACAACTGCGCAGCGATGCGAGGGAGGGCAGCCATGTGCCTCGCAAGCGAATGACTCGGATCGGCGATGGCATGGCCAAGGATGACATCGACAGCATTTTCAAATCCGAGTTGACGCTAGCGGGGGAGATGATCATGTCACACAGCGCAAGACGGATGATGTCGATGAGAGACCAGCATATAGCAAGCATCTCGCGGCGCAAGATATCAAGGAGGCGAGGTGGCACATAACTGAGCCCACAATCCCGACAACCACCCCGGAAGTGAGAGGTTGCCTTCATCATCCTGCCCTAATTTTACGCTGGCCCAAGCACCCTCGCCCCTCGCGTCAAGAAGCATGGACCCATCCGCGAAATAGCGTCGCTGCGCACTGGCGGTCCAGATTCGTGGTTCAGGGGGGACTGCAACATGGCGTGCCGCGCTGGCAACGGAAGAGGGTCTAGCTCTAACACCACACACACCACACTGGCATGTCGCAGTTCTGATGGTGTCGCAAACTGTCTGCGCCCCTTCTGGTATGACACTGAAGAAGGGCAAGGCCTGGGCAACAGCGGGGAAATCCAACGGGGGCTCGCTTGGCTGGTTCTCAGGGGGCCGCCATCACCAAAAGTGCCCACAATTGGCACAGGCGCGCTCGCGCAATCAGGCTCTTCGAAATGGATGGAGTCGGGGGCCCCTCGCACTCGACCTCGGGCCCCCAGCGCTTCCTGGGCGCGGTCAGACGGCGTCGCACCCTCAGGGTACCCCGACTAAGCCCCATGGTTGACTCGCCCTGACTAAGGTCATCGACTGGGCGAAGACCTGATCGAATTGAGCCCGCCATCTCTCCTCACTCAGGGAGGAGAGCGGCGAGCGCCAGCATGCTACAGGTCCGCACGCTGCGATAAACTGCTCGGCTTTGTGTCGCCGCGGCAAACGCGATGGCAGTGACAGGGCGGCGATGCTGGCACTCTGGCGCGGGCTCTGATTTGCCCCCGCGCGTTCGTCGCGGCGGAGTTCTCGCGGCACGCGCTGTCCTGGCTGACCCGCGTCAGCCTGGACGTTGGAAAGCGCGGGTGGCTGTGGCGCAGTCACGCGCGCCTTCCCAGCGCGCTCAGCCGTCTGTTCAAGCTGCAACACCGGTCGCTCGCAGGCAGGCTGGTCGCCGACCCGTCGCCGTGCATCGTGCTAATTGTCAAAAACCGAGTTGCACTGGATTGCCCGACCCTGGGATCTCAAAGGCTGCAGGTTGCTGAGCCTCCACTTGCGCCTCTGCTGAAACCTCCGCGGGCGCACCCTGTTCTGGAGCCGCACGGGCGGCGCGAGGGAGCGGCCCTCCTCGTTGGACAGTGGCCGCGACACTCGTGGCTCGTAGCTCATGTCTTCTAATTCGCGCCTTCACATGTTCACTGCAATCTACGTCGTGGGCTCTCGAAATGAGCTGCCGCCTTGCACGGGCGATCCGCGCATGTTGTTCAATCATATGGGCTGCCCGCGCTAACGCGCCCCGCGCGCGCAGGGCTGCAGCGCGCCCGTGGAAATTGCATCGCGCTACCCCCCAGCTGCGCCATGCACCGCTGCAAATCTCGATGGCGGCATCATTGCACTGGCCCCATATCACCGCTGTTGCGGCAAGAAGTTCTCGGCGAACAGCAGGGGCGCACCAATCGAGCAAATCCACGCGCGCTGATTCGACTGGCCACAATATGGCTTCGCTGCTCCACGCATCCACCAGGGATCGCACTGCGATGTCTAGTTGCCCATTGGATTGGCAATGCGCTTCATCATCCGAGCTCGTCGCCTCGATTCTGGCGCAAGTGAGGAGACTCTGCAGTTGCTCCATGTGAGCCTCCTCATCTTGTGCGGCATTGATCAACTTTCCCCAATCAGTGTTGGAGTCCTCGGCGTCCCCCAACATGGTGGCGTTAGACTCCATGGTATTGCCGCTCTCCATATACCCTATGGGAGCTGGGTGCATCTTGCCGCGCAAGATCTTTCTGGAAACGTTGCGCCAGTGACCATGAACTCGGCACTCAGCTCAAGTGGCACAGGATGATCTGCAGCTGACGCAGCTGCTGCTGCCATGCTTCCTCCTGACTCCGCCGGGAGTTGGAAGCACGTGCGGGCTTCTGGATGCGGGTCGCCCCCCGCTGTCTTCGCGCGGCCTGTCGGGCACGGTTCGGACGCCACGCAGCCTTTGCCGTTGCCCTCGCCACCGAACTGCGCCACTAGGTTGTGGAACTGATCCGCACCTGGCCCAGGCAGACGCGGCGACTCATGCGTGGGCCCCGCTGGCTGTTGTTGCCAGCAATGCTGGATCCACCCATGGCGTCTCTGCAGCACGCACTGTTGGCAGTGGCGAATGCGGCTGCCCTCGGACTAACTCCCACTGCACCAATTTTGCCCCCTGCTGCGTTGGCCCGGCTGCCTTTGGCATCGGACACTGCGCACCTGCTCCTGGGCCCAGCGCGCCCTCGACAACATGCTGAACCGCCGCTGCCGCTGCTGCCTCGATGTCTGGCTGCGGGCACCCCCATTGATCCCATCGTTGTCAGGCTCCCCCCTGACTCTGGTGGTCTCGCCGCCGTTGCCGCTCCAGCAGCTGCCATCTGCGTCATCGAGGCCGCCGAGCACGGCGGCGGCATAGGAACCCCATGGGCGGCATTTGCATTTGAGGAGCACCCATGGTCAACGGCTGCTGTGGATCTGGTGTCGGGCATGGTCCGACAGGGTGCGCTTCTCCCCCTGGCAGATGCTGCATCTATTGCTGCATCTTCTGCATATGGTAGACCATCTGGTGGTTCTGGTATTGCAGCTGGGCGCACGCTGTTACCCCATGCTGGTGTTGCTCTTGTAGCCCCGCGATCGCCTGCGTTGCGGCTGCTGCCCTTGGTGCCGTCGTCCTCGTCTCTACCGTCATTTCGGCACCAGCAGGCTCGGGCATGATGTCGTGGAGCTCGGCGGCAATCTTGTTTCTCGGTCTCCGCCACGACCGTCTTGGTGTCCTCGATATCGAACTCGAGTTCTCCGACCTGGGCCTCCAGCGTGGCGATGCGGCACTTGGTTTTCTTCAAATCTTCCATCTTGGGTGTTCGCCGGGCCACCTGTTCCGCTTTGACCTCGCTCAAGGGTTTGGCCTGGTCTAGCGCGTACTTCAGCATGCTCATCTCCTCCTTAAGCTCCTCGCCCGATTTCTTCGCTCTTACTGTTTGGATTGCCAGGTGGGCGAGTACCATGAAACGAGTCTTCACCTTGTCGCGGGACTGGTACTGCATCTTGCGATCTGTCGGCGGGGCCCAGCTGCTCCACTCGTAGTATGCCTCTGCAAAATGCTTCAGGGCATGGACAATCCCTTCGACGAGCCTATGGGATTGCTTCTCGGTGCCATAGTCTCGTTCTGGCTTTCGATCGTGAGTGGATCTGTCGCGGCCAGGCCGAGCCTTGGGCGTTGGAAGCCCTTGTTTGCCCCACTTGCGGGAGGCACTCCTGCTCGGTCTTCTCCGCTCTGCGAAATGGCCGCCCACAGGATGAGCAATCCCACAACCAGCCTGCCCGGTGCTGTCCGCACGCGCATGTCCACCCTGGCGCTGCGGCCATAGTCACCGTGACAAGACGCGGTGGCTGTTGTGCACTGTGATGGGCCGACAACAGGGCGGTAGCAACTCGCACTCTGAGCAAGACTCTCGCTGCAGCCCTTTCTCTCCTCCTGCGGCGATGCCAGGCGGCTTCTCGTCTGAAGCGTGATCGCCCTCGTGATGCAAACGAGACCGTGGCCGGCTCCAACTACACTGGAAAACAAAATGGTGTGTTGTGGCTGGCTCCTCGGGTGCCAACACACGAGGCGCGGACTCCTGCGGGCTGCCCTCCCCTGAGGTCTGCCCACTCGGAACCCAAACCTTATCATCCTCCTCCTCCCGATTTTCCCCGCCATCCTCCCCCAAATGTTCCCCGAAGGGTTTCCACAAGGGTTGGGGGAACGTGTGGCCCGATAGCTTGGCAGAGCGTTTGCCACAACACTCGGACACCTGGCCGATTTCAAACCCCTTGCTCCCCCACGCGTTCCCCGAAAACTTCCCAAACCGACTCGGAGAACAACTGGCACGATAGCTTGGCCAAGCTCTAGCCCAGCTGACGGCCACATAGGCGTTCCACGAGGGCAGGGGGCGGCGATGATTCGCCGTAGGCGTCTTCGATAGAGCACGCAAAGAACGGCGCAAGAGTCGAAACACGAACCCAGAATTCAAACCTTCTGCCCCAAGAGGCCCCCAACAGGATCCTTCGCCTTCTCGAAAAGTTGATACCCAAAATGTTGCGCTGTACGGTGGCGGAATTGCCAAGGACAGCTGGATAGTCTCAGGAGAGTGCGCGCCATCATCACACGTCAGGGTCGAATCGCACAAACAATGATTATCTGATTGTTTTGCCAGCGGAAGCCAGAACCCGTGCCACGCGAACAACATTGAACGCATAATGTCATAGCACAAATAATGGTCACGTCGAGTGGCGCAATGCCGACCGGACCACCAACGAAGAAAGAGGCAATGTAAGAGGTTCTTCATTCGAAATCGTTAATCGAAGTACTGCTCTAGGTGTTGACTGAGGTGACCTAGTAAACCCAACTCGTATTGTCGCACTATCCCTGGTAAACTTGGGGCGCTGATGACACATTACCTCCAGATCACTCACCATTGAAGGACGGCACAAAGAGCATTGTCCAGGACAAGCAAGCTCCTCACGTTTTGGAAGCGCCACTGCTGCATTAGATGTTGAAGGTCACTGCTAGAACTGCGGGGTACAAATTGATGCACATTAGTGTTTTAGACCAGACGTCTGACAAATGACAGCATCGAAGGAAATGCATGACAAATAATACTGATGTTGCCTGAACTCTTAGACGATATGCCAGAGCAGAAGACATACACACGGCGCCTAAGTAACAAAGTGCAACACTGAAAGCACATGCAATGATGTCACCACCCTCTCATCCCCATCCACCCCTCCCCCCATCTACCCTACAGCCTCCTCCATCCCTCAATCTCGCCCTCTGCCTCCCTCACGCTCCTCCCTCTTTCTTCCTCCCTCCTCCCTCCTCGCCTGCATCCCCCTCCTCACCGTTTCCATCCACCAAGCACCATGTGTGCCAAACAGTCTTTGGAGCAGGCTCTGGGATCAAAAACCACAAAAGTTGTTGTTCATCCAACACTCACGGGCACCGCGTTCAGGATGGCAGAGCCGTTGTGCCCCACCCTAGTCGGCAGGGTCAGGTCTACCCTCGAGGGCCTCAGCAGACCACCAGTCCTCATGATCCTCCTTCTCCTCCTGTTCTGGATGCTCCTCCTGATCCTCATGCTCTGCATGCTCATCATGTTCCTCCTGCTCCACCTGCTTGTCCTGCTCCTCATGCTCGTGTGTCTGCTCCTGCTGCTTATCCTGGTCCTCCTCCTCCTACTCCTGCTCCTCTTCCTCCTCCTCCTCCTCAAGTTCCTCCTCCTCCTCAAACTCCTTCTCCTCTTGCTCCTCCCCCTCCTGCACCTCCCCTTCGTCTCCACCTCCTCCTCCTCCTCTTCCTCCTCCTCCTCCTGCTCTCTTCAGCCTGCTCCTTCCATCCCAACCCCTATCAAACTAGAGATCCCTTCTCACCGTGAATGTCTGCCCAATGTTCCTGCTAACGGCAATCGTGTTGCTCCAGGTGCTCGACGCAGCATCCCACAACAATGTGTCGTAATTCGTCCCGTCAATGTCGATGCAGTCGCTGCCAGGGTC